GAAGCTAATAATAGGACCTCGTGGACTAAAATATATTTGTGGTATTTAATGTATGGAGACAACTGAGGTCCGATTATATTTTCTTTCATTCATATTATAAAGGCTGAGCCGACCGAGGAGAAACCCCAGGACCAGTTTTGGATTTTTGCAAATTATTTTAGCCATCTTTGGGAATGTGCATTATGTATGTATGTTGAAATTATTTCGCACCTTATTTACCAAACCGTGCTAATCGGAGGTGCGGGGGAAGGACAACATGTAAACAGAACAGACACACGCACACAAGATTATAACAAGATGAGAACTCTCAGATAGGATACTGTTTTTACAAGGGAGGCCGAGAGTACATGGACTTCAGAGGACATCGTGATTAAACTACTGTATTATAAAATTAAGTAAAATTTGCTCAAGCACAATAAAACCTGAAGGCGTACACTAAATAACAGACATTCCAGTGTATCGGTGTTCCTTAGTTCCGTCCTCTTTAATGTTCTAAAGCCGACGCATATCTTGCTCGCCCTTCTGTTCAACGCAACATCTATTATACACATGGGACAACACGGAGGCTTTCGCGACCAATATTCATTATAAAGGTTTTTGGGTTAGATCTCGTAAGTATAAATGTGTCGAAACCCTCCACCACCCGACACGGCCAATCAATAAGGGATTTGTCACGTTAAACAAAACGCCAAATAGTTACTACTTCAGCCCACCGGTGTGTTGAAGAGTGAATCCACAACATTTACAATCTGAGTATGACATTCCGCTGGTAATTACATCCAGCATCATAGGGCGATTTGCTCGATGATGCTGGATGTAATTTGAGTTGAGTGTTTTATGATTTTTGTTGCACTTCCCTTTTATTTTGCTGAGAAACTGATTCTGTTATCTGTCTTGGTTTTTATGGTGCTGCTCTTCTGAACTATCATATATCTCTTACCTCAGCCTCCCTGTAGCAAAGGAAAGGTTAAAAATGAAGGGCAGTCAGCGGGTCTCTATTCTTTATTTAACCAGAAGATTAAATAAACCAAGACACATGAAACATATTTTCCTCTTTACAAAGGCAACACGTCTAACCCACATCTCGTAGTGGTTCGTGTATTTCTATAGCAACTGGGTTACCTGAGTTAAATGTATGACCACGGCTAACATCAATGCTGAATATTTATATCGCTCCTCGGTCAAGGTGCGCAAAACATCAGCACTGGGGAGATAAATGCTGGTCTCCATAGGTGATTGCTAACAGCACGTTACAGTCTGTTAAAGGCTACACGGGGATCTTTGTCTCGTCGCTTCGTGTGCTGCATGACCCCCACGGTACATGGTGGTTGTGAGATAATGGGTGCGTGTGATGCAGGGGGTAGATATTGATCTCCCATAACAGATTCCAGGGTTCTGATTCTGCTTGGGGCAAAATAAAGATCCAGGACACGTTTGTGTGGTGAAGCTTAGTGTGCGGACCCGTGACCTTCTTAACAATCCATTGCGTAGTCTGTTGTGCGTAAGCTCGGGCTGGAACGATTTACTCCCCAGCGACGTGATGTATTCTCACTGTCCAGGCTCCTGATTTGATTCGAGAATCGATATTTTTAAAATGATTATGGCTGCAGGGGTAACGTGAACTCACATGAACACGTCGTATAAAATAAAATTTTACTTTTTGTCATTAACACTGCCTTACAAGAGAAAGGTGTGTTTTACAAAACATTAATCGCTGGTGTTACATACATTGTATTATTTTGTAATCAGGCCAGAGGGTGATGGGTTGTGTTGATTAAGGTTGTACATCTGTTTTAAAAATATATTTGCCAGACAATACAAACAATATCAAAATAAATTACAAAACAAACTTGAATGGCATCTCTCTCGGTAATAATGGACGTTGCCTATTTCCATTACACTCAGGAGGTTTGCGTGTCCAGCCTTGACCTCGGTTAACCTCCCTTGGACCGCTACTCCCTCCCATTCCTCTCTGGCTATGTCCATTATGGTTACAGCTCCTCTGGTGCTGTCCTCTATAAATATCAATAACGACTGATGTTGGATAGAGCCCTGCCCGCCATCACACTGGGTCATCTCGGAGCACTTTACGTGCCATCGGCAACTCACATCTCATCTTTTGGCTATTACTGTTCCATGTGGCTATTACTGTTCCATGTGGTGTCTTTGATATACACAGTTGAGAGCTCATTTAAAATTAGTTTTAGTGAGTAGAAGTGAGACCTGATTGAACGTGATTAAAAACACAAACTCAGCACATTGGTCACTAACAGAACACACATTTAATAGGTTAACATTTATTTTATAAGGCAGTGTTAATGATAAATATGCCAAGTTCGTTCGTTCCTTAGTCCGCTTGTCCTGGTGAGGGTCGCGGAAGCAGCATGTTGAGTAGGGGGGGGTGTCCAGACCTCCCTTTCCCTGACGACAGACTGGGGAATTCCCAGGTGTTCCCAGGCGAGCTGAGCAACGTAGTCCCGCCAGCGTGTCCTGGGTCTTTTCCCAGTGGCACGTGCCTGGTAGAATTTCAGGGGGAGGCTATCAGGGGGGGGGGGGGGGGGTGGGGGGGGGGCATCCTTGTCAGGTGCCCAAACCACCTCAACTGGCTCCTCTTGATCCGGAGGAGTAACAGCTCAACTCTGAGGCTCTCTTGGATTACCGAGCTCCTCACCCGATCACGGAGAGTGGGCCTGGCAACCCTGCGGAGAAATCTCATTTCGGCCCCTTGTATCCGCGATCTCATCCTTGTGGTCATTACCCAAAGCTCATGACCATAGGTGAGGGTGGGAACGTAGATCGACTTGTAAACCGACAGCTTTGTTCGGGAATTCAGTTCCCGCTTCACTACCACAGAACTGGTACAGTGCCCGCAATTCTACGGACACCGCACCGATCCGCCGGCCGATCTCCTGCTTCCACTTACCATCACTTGTGAAAGAGACACCGAGGTACTTTTAAACTCCTCCACTAAGGGCAGCTGTTCCCCCCCTCACCTGGAGAGAACAATCCACCGTCTCCTGGGAGTGAACTATGACCTCAGATTTGGAGGTGCTGATCCTTATCCCAGCCGCTTCACACTGGGCATAAAGCCGTTCGAGTGTACGCTGAGATCACAGACAAGGCAAAGAGGACAACGTCATCTGCAAAAAGCAGCAACGCCACCTCCATCTCCCTGTACTGGATATTCTCCATACCTCGGCTGTGCCTTGATGTCCTGTCCATGAAATAATAAAACGGGAGAGGAGGCAAAAGACATACTGTTGGTGGAGTCCCAACACCCACAGTGAACGACTTTGAGTTAACACCAAGAATACGGACACAGCTCTCACTCCGGGAATAGAGGGACTGGATAGCGCACAAAAGCGGCACCGGTACATCATACTCGCAGCACCTCTCACAAGACATTGCGGGGAGCACGGTCATATGCTTTCTCCAAGTCTACCCAAAGCAGAGGTAGACTGGAGAAGCATACTCCTATGACCCCTTAAATATTTGCGAGAGGGAAAAAGAGCTAGTCCATTGTTCCACGACCATGATGGAATCCACAAAGCTTTACCTGGGACGCTGAGGAGTGTGGTTCCTCTGTAGTTGGAAACACCCTCTGGTCTTTTAAAAAAAATTGGAACCACGACCCCAGTTTTGCCAATCCAGAGGTACTGTACCTGCTTAGTATATTGTTTATTTGTGTTTGTGCTTCTCTGTCAACATTTCCCCTAAATATTTCATTTTACCTTATCAACCACGTAATAATCTCCCAGTTACAGCTTGCTTCCCCCAAACTGCTGAATTCCAACAACATCACACAGCAGATGCGATTTCTTTTACTCTGATCAACAATGCTAAATATCCCACCAAGCCACTTCGGTCACCAATCTCACACCATGGACCACAGTGTGACACCATCATTCGCCGGCAGTATCTGAGATATTCACCAAGTGTGTGTGTGAGTATAGATGTTCACCAGGCTGCTCGCCTGGTGAACATCTATTCACTACATCTCCCGCTTGTCATTTGCTGACAACCTGGCTTTGGCCAGCATGGGATCATGAGGCTTCCCTGTGGCAGTGCGTTGTAGCCTAAATATATTTCACATGATGCTGTAATATCACTTACGCCTCGTTGCGTGGAGTGATCCACCCGCTATCGCACTGTTGTGTATTTTGCTGATGTGCAGGGCCGTCGCTGTGTGTCACGCTGTAAATGTTTACCCAGAGCGCCAGGTTCGTGTCCACCTTTGAGGTCGCTGGGCTGATCGTTTGCGCCACGGTTTTTACTGCACCGCCACACCCTATTTTAAAATTCACTGCTCGGGTACAAACATCCGCGAGCGCTTGAGGTGGTCAACTAAAAATACCCAGAAAGGTCATGGTGCGTGCACACAGGATGGCGTCCTGGGGGTTGCGATGCTTATGTCGTGCCAGGCGATGTTATGTATGCTGATGGTGAGGATTTGGAGGTGAATGGACTTGCTGACAATTAGTAGCAGCAGTGTCAAGATTGACTTCTGTAGAGGAGGTGTGTGAAGGACGCTAGTGGGCAGTGACGTCCTTCACAGGAACCTGGAGCACCTTGAGAAAACCCACGCATGCGAGTAGGGAACACTGTCCGATAAGGATTTGTTGTGTCTCATTCTCCTAGCGAGCCTGGGTACAGCACCTCCTTGATGCCCACGGGAAAGGAAGTTTTACAAAATTTGTGTGTGGTGATCCACCAACCCTGCCCGCTGCCTCCACAGTGCTGGATTACAGGTCAGGTGTGTAGCCACTCCTGCCCTGTGTCTGTTTTTGAGTGGCACGGAGCAGAGGTGTAGTGGTTAGCGCACTGCGCTATGATCCCAGCGACCCGTGTTCGATTCCTGCTCACGGGGCGATGTGAACCCATCGCCACTAAGGAGACAAAGGCAATTATGCGTGATGCTGGCCACTCACGGCTTCTTGTGCTGTGCTGGCCTTCATAGTCGCTCGCTAACTACAGTCTGTTTTTTGTGTAACGGTGTGTAGGCTATAAGAATGCGTGTGAGCGCACGTCGTTCATCTTCCTGCGCCAGGAGCTGCCCGTGCGTCTCGCCAACACCATGAAGGAGATCAACCTCCTGCCCGACAAGCTGCTGCACACGCCCTCTGTGCAGCTCGTGCAGAGCTGGTCAGTGTGCCACCTCCTGTGTGTCTGTATGTATGTGTGTACATGTGTCTGAATGAGGGTGTGCAGGGGCAGTGGGTGTGCCGTCTCCTGTGTGTACGTCTTTGTGTCTGCTTTGTGTATATTTGTGTTGACGTGTATATTTGTGTTGCGGCAGTCTTAACAGCCAACCTCAAACAGCACTTGCCCTGATGTAGGCTACATTCCCAAGTTGAGTAAAGTGCATAACTGAATTTAACATGGTAGGTGTGTGTTGCAACAGGTACGCCAAGAGCATGACCGAGATCCTGGGGTACGTGGATAAGAACCCCGATGATGGAAAGGTCCTCACCAAGTAAGAGCTCCTCTAGCCACCCATCTCGGTTCGATTCAGAGCAGTGGAGAGCCCACGGAGCAACCCATACAGAGTACACCTTAGACGTGTGTACATGTGTTGTGCGGTGTGCATGTGTGTGTGTGTGCGCATTCCAGCTTCACAGAGACGCTGCTGGAGGTGCGCACCCTGCACAAGGACGTGGTGCCCACGATGGCGCAGGGCGTGATGGAGTACAAGGAGGTGCTGGGCGTCGACCTGGCCTCCGACCGCAACGTGCAATACTTCCTCGACCGCTTCTACATGAGCCGCATCTCCTTCCGCATGCTCATCAATCAGCACGGTGTGCCGCTCGCCACCCACTTAATACCACCCAGCAACCCACTGCACACCACCCAGCAACCCGCTACCCACTACACCCCACCCAGCAACCTGCTACTCACTACACACCACCCAGCAACCCGCCAACCATTACACACCACCCAGCAAGCTGCTACTCACTACACACCACCCAGCAACCTGATACTCACTACACACCACCCAGCAACCCGCTACCCACTACACACCACTCAGCAACCCGCTACCCACTACACACCACCCAGCAACCTGCTAGCCACTACACACCACCCAGCAACCTGATACTCACTACACACCACCCAGCAACCTGCTACCCACTACACACCACCCAGCAACCTGCTACCCACTACACACCACTCAGCAACCTGCTAGCCACTACACACCACCCAGCAAGCTGCTACTCACTACACACCACCCAGCAACCTGCTACCCACTACACACCACTCAGCAACCTGCTACCCACTACACACCACCCAGCAACCCGCTACCCACTACACACCACTCAGCAACCTGCTAGCCACTACACACCACCCAGCAAGCTGCTACTCACTACACACCACCCAGCAACCTGCTACCCACTACACACCACTCAGCAACCTGCTACCCACTACACACCACCCAGCAACCCGCTACCCACTACACACCACCCAGCAACCCGCTACCCACTACACACCACCCAGCAACCTGCTACCCACTACACACCACCCAGCAACCTGCTACCCACTACACACCACTCAGCAACCTGCTAGCCACTACACACCACCCAGCAAGCTGCTACTCACTACACACCACCCAGCAACCTGCTACCCACTACACACCACCCAGCAACCCGCTACCCACTACACACCACCAAGCAACCTGCTAGCCACTACACGCCACCCAGCAAGCTGCTACTCACTACACACCACCCAGCAACCTGCTACCCACTACACACCACCCAGCAACCCGCTACCCACTACACACCACCCAGCAACCTGCTACCCACTACACACCACCCAGCAACCTGCTACCCACTACACACCACTCAGCAACCTGCTAGCCACTACACACCACCCAGCAAGCTGCTACTCACTACACACCACCCAGCAACCTGCTACCCACTACACACCACCCAGCAACCTGCTACCCACTACACACCACCCAGCAACCCGCTACCCACTACACACCACTCAGCAACCTGCTATCCACTACACACCACCCAGCAACCTGCTACCCACTACACACCACCCAGCAACCTGCTACCCACTACACACCACCCAGCAACCTGCTACCCACTACACACCACCCAGCAACCTGCTACCCACTACACACCACCCAGCAACCCGCTACCCACTACACACCACTCAGCAACCTGCTATCCACTACACACCACCCAGCAACCTGCTACCCACTACACACCACCCAGCAACCTGCTACCCACTACACACCACTCAGCAACCTGCTACCCACTATACACCACCCAGCAACCCGCTACCCACTACACACCACCCAGCAACCTGCTACCCACTACACACCACTCAGCAACCTGCTACCCACTGCACACCACCAAGCAACCTGCTAGCCACTACACACCACCCGGCAACCTGCTACCCACTACACACCACTCAGCAACCTGCTACCCACTACACACCACCCAGCAACCTGCTACCCACTACACACCACTCAGCAACCTGCTACCCACTGCACACCACCAAGCAACCTGCTAGCCACTACACACCACCCAGCAACCCGCTACCCACTACACACCACTCAGCAACCTGCTACCCACTACACACCACCCAGCAACCTGCTACCCACTACACACCACCCATCAACCCGCTACCCACTACACACCACTCAGCAACCTGCTACCCACTACACACCACCCATCAACCTGCTACCCACTACACACCACCCAGCAACCCGCTACCCACTACACACCACTCAGCAACCTGCTACCCACTACACACCACCCAGCAACCTGCTACCCACTACACACCACCCAGCAACCTGCTACCCACTACACACCACCCAGCAACCTGCTACCCACTACACACCACCCAGCAACCTGCTACCCACTACACACCACCCAGCAACCTGCTACCCACTACACACCACCCAGCAACCTGCTACCCACTACACACCACCCAGCAACCTGCTACCCACTACACACCACTCAGCAACCTGCTACCGACTACACACCACTCAGCAACCTGCTACCCACTACACACCACCCAGCAACCTGCTACCCACTACACACCACCCAGCAACCTGCTACCCACTACACACCACCCAGCAACCCGCTACCCACTACACACCACTCAGCAACCCGCTACCCACTACACACCACTCAGCAACCTGCTACCCACTACACACCACCCAGCAACCCGCTACCCACTACACACCACCCAGCAACCCGCTACCCACTACACACCACTCAGCAACCTGCTACCCACTACACACCACCCAGCAACCTGCTACCCACTACACACCACTCAGCAACCTGCTACCCACTACACACCACTCAGCAACCTGCTACCCACTACACACCACTCAGCAACCTGCTACCCACTACACACCACTCAGCAACCTGCTACCCACTACACACAGCTGCCACCCACAACCTCCCAACCCTCACCCCACAACCCACAACCTCTTAACTCTCCCCTCTATACCCGTGATCCCTGATCCCTAACCCTGATGGCAGACTCTGCAGCTACTTATCCAGCGATCCATGCCTTGTGAACCCTGTACACGTGTGTGCACCTTTGTGTATGCGTGCGTATGTCGACACTTATGAACACGTAGGCCATTGTGTGCTGGCGTCACTGTCCATTTTCGCCAAATTGGAAAAATGACCTGAAAATCACTGAATTAGAGTTACATTCTATTGTCAGCTGCGACTGGCAGACTAATTGTATGTATGTTGAACTTCTTTTGCCTGTTGGCAGTTAGGGAGTGGCCTTGTGCCACACGGGGACAGCTGCCACTGGGGTTGCCCCTTGACATGGTTCAGATGATGTGCGATAAGGCGCTTTGAGTTATTGAGGCCTTTTAAGTGTCACTATCTGTGCAAAGACGACGATGCTTAGTGTGTGCGCATGTCACTTGCAGCGCTTCTCTTTGGCCTGGAGGACATCCACCCGAAGCACATTGGAACCATCGACCCCACGTGCCAGGTGGCAGAGGTGGTCCAGGGTGAGTGGCGGAAGAAGCCGGAGATGAACCTCGGACTTCTTGGATGAACATTGCTCCTAGTGTCTCCTGGTGTGATCAAAGCTGCTTCATGTTTCATGTAGCCTGTGTAGGGGAACTGTTAGAGATTCATTTGTAACTGATTTAGCCATCCTATTTGTCTGAGAGTTGGTGAATTATAGATGTACCCACTCAGCCACCCACCAACCCACTCACCCACCCACCGCCTTCATATGATAATTTGGGACAGTGTGAAGTTACACGGTCCGTAGTTTGAAGTTCATAGCTGCAGTCGCACACAGGAGAGAGTCTGATTCTGCACTTGTGCATTTGGTGTACGCATCTTCAGTGGTTTATGGGGATCCGGTTAAGCGCTGCCATTGTTTCATTGGAAGATGAAAGTCGCTGGGCAGTGTGGTGGTGGGCTCACTGAGCAGGTGTGTTTTGGCACGTTGTTTGAAGCCCACGAGTTGCTTCGCACCATATCCATGTTGAAACTTGGACGAGTTCTGGATCTCCACTGTGGTCGCGAGATCTTTGTAAGGGCGTCTTTATCGGCAGGAGCTTTGAGTCGGCTTCTGATTGTTGCAATTCACATGGTGAATATGTGGTAGTACGATATTTGCCAGTACAGGAAACCTAGACATTGGTATAGATATTCTTGGTTCTTTCGGTAAAGTCATGTAGAAGGGAAACAATAAAATAATAAAAATATAAAACAATAAAATTCTCACAACGTTTCGACTGCAACACAAGCAATCATCATCAGGTGTGAAAACCACAACAAGAAAATTTGTTTTATTATTTTATTGTTTCCCTTCTACGTGACTTTACCGAAAGAACCAAGAATATGCATCCCTGCAGTCACGAAAGCTTTAAATCAAAGTTGGTATAGATGTTAAAGCTGTTGTGATTGTCCACATCACAATGTTCTGAATGTGGTCAGAACTCTCGACTCTCAACCGAAAAGTTGTGAGTTCAAACAGCGAGCAGGGCTCAACCCATCCTGTCATCATCATCATCGTCATTCCTCTTGGGTCAGTAAAATGAGGACCCCTTTGTGAGATGTCTACAGTGATTGTTCTTGGGGTGAACTGGCCCTTGTCAGAATTATGTGGAATTCATACCACACAGGCAACCGGTGAAGACGCTCTGACTTTATAGCACCTCCCCTCTCACATGACATGTCAGCCGTGAATTTTTACCTGTCCATCCCAGTGCGCCTGGGTCTGTCCTTACACCTTCATCGGCGAGGTGTGCATCGTGCACCTAGCCTGGCGCAGCACCCATGCGCCCCTGCGCGTGTTTGTATTCACAGATGCCTTCGATAGCGCCAAGCAGCTTTGCAATCAGTACTACCTGGGATGTCCCGACGTTCAGATCCAGCAGCACAACGGTAGGCACGCTACCAGCACAGCCCTGCCACCTCGCACGGGAGGGGGCGCGCCCTCCGGTGCCCTTGAGACATCGACGGCACGCGGTGGTTTCATGACATCGTGCATCACAAGCGTTATGACAAATTGTAACGTTGCCACGATTGGAATGTTGAATGAACTTTAAGTTTAATAACTTTTTAGTAATCTACTTTTGCATACTGCAAGCACTAACACGTAAGAAAAATGCAAAATACTATATTGGCCTTGCCAAATTGTCCAATATTCAATATTACGAATTATGTACAATGGTACTCCTCCCTAGTGCCTCCTGCCCCAATTTTTTTTCCAAATTTGTTTTCCAAACTATTCATACACCATATGCATTGACACACCTGCATCAGTTCTATCCAAAACATTGGATTTAAACATGATTTGAAGCTTTGCGTCACTGCAGGAATTACTCTGGTTCTTTCGGTAAAGTCACGTAGAAAGAAGATAAATTAAATAATAGAATATTACGTTTAGATTGCAACACAAGCAATCGTCATCAGGTAGAACTAAATTTCAGAGAGAGACAAAACACAGACACGGAGACACACAGACACACAAGCAGAGAGAAACGACACAGAGACACACAGAGAGACACAACACATTGGATTTGTCTCGCAGACGAAGGGATTTATACTTCAGTCCCTTTCTATTACTTCTTGATGTAGGTGTAGACGACATTCCTGAGAGGGTTGACTTGCACAGAGTGCATGAAAAAGGTAAAGTCCAAGGCAACAGGTCTGCATTAACGCTCGCCACGCGCGCCGCCACCAGTCTGAGTAATTGTTTTGGTTGTGGCGCGTGGCGTCGCTCCACGTGAATGCCGAAATTGGACCATTCAGTTTGGAACTCGGCTCATGACGAATTACGAATACTGTATATATGCCAAAAGCGCAGCCATGCCTAATTGTCCCCAATTACGAATGATCAAATACTGAAATAATGAGGTTTTACTGTATTGTGGTAACCATAGTAAAAAATTCCAGCATATTCTAAATTCAAAAAATATATGGAAAAGGTATTTGAGAAATTATGGCAACGTGACTAAGACTTAAAAAAGTAGGAATCTTTATAGTGATTAACTTAAATTTGGTTGCACAAGATCAGTAGAGCATCGCACATTGCAAAAGGAAGCCATGCAGAATGCGCTATGCAATTGAGAAAAAGTTCAGAATTCACGCATAACTCGTGGATTATGCACCCGTGGGTTGTGTAATGCTGTTTTCATGCTCAAATGTACACAGCTTGTAGTTGAGAAGTTGATGGCTGTCTCTCAGGGCAAAATGTGTTTTCATATTGCAAATAATATTTTTTTCTCTGGTTTGTGTGCCTCCAGATATTGGTGAACACTTTTATCCTTGTGGCTGCTATTTTCTAGACCAAGTTCCAAGTAGCAAAATGATTTTATACTAATGTTTCATTCGTATTGGATCACCTTTACAACGGTCATCATGACCACATGGCTAGACACCGACAGCTTATGTATAATCGATCTCAACTTGGAAAGTGGTAATACTCTACATCCCTTGCCTTCACTCGAGAAGACGACCAGGACTCTGCGAGTCATACATTCAGTAGATGGGTTTCACTGAAACTGAGCCGGGCCGGAGGACGGGAGCGAGTGTGCGAGCAATGTGCGTTGTGGTGAGGTGGTGGTGAGAGTTGTCACGCATCCGGGTGAGGAGGTGTTCTTTCTCTCTCTGTTCCCTGCCGTGCTGCCTGACCGTAGGGAAGAACCCGGGCCTTCCCATCCAGGCGGTGTATGTGCCCTCTCACCTCTTTCACATGCTCTTTGAGCTGTTAAAGGTAAGCAGCCCCCCCCCCCCACGTTCCTAGGCGTCCACGGTCGCAGTTTGTTTTATGCTTCACTCCAAGAAGGGATCTAGGAGCTAGTTCTGTTTTATCCGCTTCCGTGGGCCGCTCTCTAACATGCAGGGCTGGGCGTTGCGAGAAATCCAAGCGAATTATTTATCGCAACGTGATGTCGACGTTGAGTGTGATTGTGCGGTCTCGTGTTGCTACAAAGACTCTCAAAGTGATTCGGGAGGGGGAGAGATTTATCGATTAACATTTATTTGTCTCTATTTTAGCAATGTTATTAGAATTAAGATTTTGCTGTAACATTATGGGATGCAGAATCCATATGGAACTCTTAGCAGTGTATCATCTCACCATCCAACACGTGCATGAGGCTGTACAATCTGCTTCGTCAATTGAATGAATGCCGACATGGTATTGGAGGGGTCTCCACAAGTCCAGCAACCAAGGGGAAGAGAAGCCCTATAGCTGATGGTGGGAGTCTGTCCGCGCCGATCTTGGAGATGGCTGCGTGCGTCTCCTGTGCATGGGCGAGATCTGCCAAAGGGTGGAGAGCGTTGGTAGCGAGGTGTGGAAGTGGCATCAGCAGCTTTGGTCATGCAGACGTGGTAGTCTTATTTGAATCTCCCCTCCCCCCCTGACCCTCCCCGCTTGTGCCCCCCTACCCATGCTCCCCCACCAGAATGCGGTGCGAGCGACGGTGGAGCACCACGGGGAGTCGGACTTCCCTCCCGTTCACGTGCTCATCACGCTCGGCCCTGAGGACCTCACCATCAAGGTGGCCAAGGGGGACCAGCGGAAGTGTGATGTGACTCGTGGTGGTGTGTCTCATGGTGTGGTGTGACTCGTGGTAGTGTGTGTCTTGGTGGTGTGGCTGACCCATGGTCTGGCCGGTGCGCGCTCGCTGCATGTGAAGGTGAGCGATCAGGGAGGAGGAGTTCCTCTCAGGAAGATTGAGCGACTCTTCCACTACATGTACTCCACCGCGCCTCCACCCCACACTGACGTCTCCCGCGCCCCGCCACTGGTACGCTCATCCCCCCTCCCCTGCTGGTACGCTCATCCTCCCCTCTCTCTTGGTGAAGTCTCTGCTGGTTGTGGAAGCCTCCTCCTGCTGGGTGGTGCTGCACTTCAGAACGGGCCACATGCGACTCTCTCCCACAGGCCGGCTTTGGCTTCGGCCTGCCCATATCGCGGCTCTACGCACAGTACTTCAATGGGGACCTGAAGCTTTACTCCATGGAGGGGCAGGGCACGGACGCGCTCATCTACCTGAAGGTGGTGCCGTCCGCACGCACCACGTTCGACGTCGTTCCCCCCAGTGTTGCTTGTACCAATCCAGTACTGCTGAAATGATGCACTCCCAGAAGGCCTTACGGGCGATGTGTAATTGTACTCATGTATTCCTTACATGGAGGGGCAGACGTGTTCTCCACTTACCGTTTGTGTCTCCCATGACGCGCCTCTGGGTTGTGCCGCGCGTCATTGGGACGACGACCGGTGACTCGCTGGGCGTGCGCGCTTGGCGTAACCGAAGTCACAACGCACGGGTGGTGACGGGTGCCGCGCGGGTGGTGACGGGTGCCGCGCGGGTGGTGACGGGTGCCGCGCGGGTGGTGACGGGTGCCGCGCGGGTGGTGACGGGTGCCGCGCGGGTGGTGACGGGTGGTGGCGGGTGCCGCGCGGGTGGTGACGGGTGCCGCGCGGGTGGTGACGGGTGCCGCGCGGGTGGTGACGGGTGCCGCGTGGGTGGTGACGGGTGCCGCGCGGGTGGTGACGGGTGCCGCGCGGGTGGTGACGGGTGCCGCGCGGGTGGTGACGGGTGCCGCGCGGGTGGTGACGGGTGCCGCGCGGGAGGTGACGGGTGCCGCGCGGGTGGTGACGGGTGCCGCCCGGTGTGTTGCAGGCGCTGTCGAGTGAGTCGGTGGAGAAGCTGCCGGTGTTTAACCGCTCAGCGTGGCGCCACTACCGCAACTTGCATGAGGCCGACGACTGGTGCGTGCCGAGCAGCGAGCCGCGTAACGTGCTCAACAAGACGACCTGACTGCACCTCTCCGCACTACTCCGAGCTCCTCACACCGCACGATGTAATTAATGACTAGACCACCAGCTCTCCCCGCACTACAGCGCAATACACCACCCGACAATTCTACACTCAGCTACATAATAAACCGATACTATACCACACTACTCTGTTACACCGCGCTGCACTGTTCTTCACCACCCTGCAGTGAGCCATGCAACATGTGAGCAGCGCTATAGATGCTCCATGCTGAATGAGGACTTCTCAAAAACATTTGGACTCTACCCCAGTGCACACCACAGTAAACACTACCACACCGCGCTCACGCGGACACAAACGGTACTGCAGTAATGCACTCTTCCGCACCACTTGGGCCTTTGAAGGCTGTATCGATGAGCAGTGCTGCGAAACTACGAAAAGTGCTCACACTCCGTGTGCTTGGTATGTGGCACTCGGCCAAGGCTCGTATACACACGCACACAAAAGAGTGTGCACATGTACGCACACTCTCGGTGTCGCCTCACTCCAATCTGTGCATTGGATGAGGATTCTGTATCTGATGAGACAAGGGTTCTGCATCAGATTGGATGAAGGGGGCGACAGGGTTGTGCGGTGGTGTTAGGCCTCACGGTAAATAGATCCATGGGATCAGTTCCTGACACAGCACCTTTCTGCGTGGAATTAGTTTTTTGTTTGTTTTCCCCCCTCTTATGCATGTGTTTCCTCCAGGTTCATAGAGGGTAGTTCTGACGAGACGAGGGCTCTATAAGTTTGCTGGAGGTGACCAGGTGTCAAATGCACTGACGTGCAGTGCTGATTTTGTACGTTCAAGGCGGAGACAGAGTGAGCACTCACAGTGGAAGGCAATACCGTGTTGGCTGTATATAGGTCATTATGAATCATCATGGACAGCTTTACTGAAGAAAAAAATCACATTTTATGTTTTATGTGATAGACCTTCAAGATTATAAATCTTGAACAAAGGGTTTTGGTTGTTAAGCAAATGTGTGTATTGATGAATGGTTATACAACATATACCGTGTGTAGTGTACGTTTCGTGGAAAGCATGTGGCCCTGTGGAAGGGAACTCATGTGATATTGGAATTCCAGTAGTGACAACATGACGAGCATCTTGTCACTACTGGAACTGAAGGTGAAATATATTTATTTGAAATCCGTGTCCTTTATTTAACCAGGCGAGGGCACGTTTAGATTAATTACCTCTTTTGCACATGAGTCCTGGTACGCGGCACTTACATGGCCGACAGTTGTTAATGTATCGGTGGTGAAGTGGCATTCACCGCTTATTGCAGAGGTTCACAGTTCAAATCCGGCAAGTCACCCTGATTAATGCTGCAGTGTAGTAACCATAACATACCATGTGCTGTCTGCCTCACAATTAACGTTAAAGATCCCGTCACTGTAGGCCATTGTTTGTTAGTCACGGTCCAATTTAGCACAAATTTTATAATTACGCCACGAAATATTCAATTGGAAACGCATCGCAGTTGTCGCCTCCTGTGAAATTTGGCAGGACCTTATTGGAAAACAGTTGAGGCCCAGTGAGGCTTTGCTGGTTAAATAACAGTAATACAAATAATCTCGAATAGCTTATGAATAGCGACCAAAAGTGCAAGACAATAAGTAGTAGCACAGCCGCCGTCTACTGATTTTGAGACATCGCCTGACTGAAATTCTCTTCCAGTCTCCATGGGGTTAAGTTGCCACCAATTAAGTGAGGGTTGGAGTGAATTCTGTCTCACTTGAGTTTTGAAAACTGTTCATTGAATGAGGCCCGGCTCCAGATCCTCTGGGGGAGGGGGGGGGGCAGAAGAGCGGTTGTGTGAGGGGCCACGGTCACCGTGATTCGCCACTAACAAGCGTAAACTTGACGGGCCAAGGGAACACTTGGTGGTGCAGGGTTTAGCCCAGCGCCAGCCTCGCATCGGCCCTTATTTGAGTGTTCATCTCTTGACCGTTGAATAGAATGCACAGAAATGTGGCACAGTGGGGAGCACAGGCGGTGCATCTGTCAGTCATCTTGAGTCGGTCACCCGATTACGATTGGGTCTGTTGTGAACTGCCATCGAGCCTTTGACGATTATAAGCTTACGGTATTGTCAAATCACGTATTAAAATGTATTGCTCAGTTTGTATGCATTGTACGCAATCGGGTTCACGTGACCCCTGCAACCACTAGATGCCGTTACAATGTAAAAAATATCGATTTCTAGAATCAAAGTGGGACCGAATGGCGGCAATTTGTTGAAATCGCCGTGGGGGTGAATCGTCGACCTCTCCGGGTAAGGAGGCAGGGAGCGAGTCGGGGGCCTCGTCGTAGTTGCCCCCTCGAGGCGTGGATCGCAACGTCGTCGCTACAAGCGCGGAGCAGAATGTGGCCTTTGTTAAAGGCGTGGAGGCATTTGCTGGCAGTCGCGGCAGATGCCATATGCAGGGGTATTCTCACAGCTTTTCCAGTGCTCTATTTACAGAGGGCATGCCCCCCTTGCCTCTCTCTCTCTCATAGCCAACTATCTCCCAGTCTCCCCCCTCCGCCGTCACGAACCCCGCACTTGATACCGAGCCTAATGCACGGCGGGGCTTCTTTAAGTAGCAGACAGCCAATGAAGTCTTACATCTAAAACAATCCTCGCTCAAGTTGTTTGTTCTGATGCCATTAATTCACTCTAAATATGAACGATGCTTTTATTATTAGCAATAAAGGATGTGTTTTGCCTTGTCTCTGCCAATTTGTTTTGTCTTGGTGCCTGGCGGGGTTTAAAGTCGCTTTTATTATGCGCCGCAGTGCATCCGGAGAGGTGACCTTTATAAAGCAGGGGAGAGTGAAAGTGTATATTTGAGGGAAGACCTGCATCTACCGTCTCGTCCTCAGGATGTATTCTGCTTAATGGTGGAGTCGTTGTTGAAACGCATGGTTTGAAAATCGAGGGGGAGCGGTGGCGCAGGAGTTGGCACACTGTGCCATCAACCCCCACAAAAGTTGTCTGAACTGGCCCTGGTGTGGCAGTGAACGTATTAAAAGTGGCTTACTCGACGTTTCCATATTGGAGTTTGCTTGTAAGTAACCCGCTTGATGTTATACACTTAATGCAGAACAGGAGAACAGTACTGGCTTAAAGTAGGGATGACATGCATCCACGTGTTCGAAAGTGGGGTTTCATTAAAACCAAACATTCTTAAACAGGAGCTGGCCAACACAGAAGATGTCGGTCCATATGGTTAGAATTAGTCAAATCTGAACTACTCTGAGAAATGAATGGACAATAACGGGGAATATTTGTTTGCATTTTAAAACAACGTATTAACCATTCTTAATGCTAGAACACGTTAGAAAACACTCCCCCCAAATGCTCTTCTTAATTGATAGGTCAGGAGTGATACGTGTACAGTGCGTTACTGTACATGACATTTTTGCTGAAATTGACAGCAATTTTTATAGATGTAAAAAAATATTTACCTTCCTTCCTCTGCTTTAGTGACTTAAACTTTTGAAAATAAACTTTACTGACGTTTCACAGAAGAGAACCATCGCTGTTTAAATGTCCTGAGTCGCGTGGGAAGATGGGTCGTAAATTAAGTTTGGGGCCATCCATTTAGTATGTAAGCAGGGGGGGGGGGGTTAACCCAAATCGGCCGTTTTATAGGATTCGGGGGGGGGGGGGTGCGTCAAGCGTACGTACGCAGGTGGGGGGGGGGGGGGGGTAAAAAGTACGTGTGTGTACAGGGAGGGGTCAAATTTTGACAGATTTTTGCGTACGTACTTAATGGATGGCCCCTTTGTGCCACAAATCGATCCATTGTGGCCTTAAATAGACGTCATAAATGTGTCGCTAATTAGAACGTCGTAAGCCGGTTGTAAAGTTTCGCAAACTTTACATATTTTTACTAAGATTAAAAAAATACACGTGGAATATTTAATTGAATATTAATGTTTCACGAACGTTATGCTCTCAAAAATTATACTTTTAAAAATCCGGACAGGCAAACGCACACTTGTTCCATTATCGTATGATGTGTGTGAGAGCTCGCATATAGTTAAACAAAATCAAGTTAAAATTCAATTGTACTGCAGTACAGAGATATGGCTTGAGCTGCAAATGCAGATATCATACATGCACACGCGCTCAGACCTGTTATTGCATTCATTGCACAGAACGAAAGAACACGCAACATGACCTGCGCATGCGGACAAATTTGCATGAACGTGTATCCAAAGACGTTTAAATCAATCGTGTTGCAGTGGAGACACCCACGGCTGCAAATGCAGCTCATACATTTGCATGCTTTCAGATCTGTTCTCGCACGTCGATTCTGTTCTATGAAATTAATTGAACTGCAATGCAGAAATAAAATGTAATCCGTAAATGTGGACGAATCATTCACAAACGCATATTAAAGCTTTTGAACTACAGTGGTAAAACACGGTTCGGGCTGCAAACACCGCTTCGGCTGCAAAGCGGTGACGTCGTGCGTCCCGGTGTTCGATAACGGAGGCGGGGCACTAACGTGGAAGTGGATGCCTCTGATAAACCCCATCCCCACTCTTGCTGCTGCTACTCCAGCTGCCGAGACTGCTTGCAAGCGAAAGCGCATCCCGTCTCGGAGAGGGGAACTCATTTTTAACTCCGATCTCCGCGCCAGGGAATGTGGCGGCGGTTCCAGAGATGTCTGGTAAGTCATGCAAATCCGCCCACGATCCCAGTGGCGGAGACCGTGCGGTTCCGTCCTCTGCCGGAGGCGAGTCATATCGGGTAGGCAGCGCAGGAAAGGCGTGAGGCGGCGTGGGCTGCTAGGCCGCACGGACCAGATTAGTTTAAAAAGTTACTTTCATTGTTTAATTGCTGGTTATTATTTGCGTGAGAAGGTAACCGGTTCGTTAATGTGTTTGTGAGCTTGGCCGGCCTGCTGTTAGTGCAGGGATTGGTTCACAGCGCTGCCCCTGAGGCATTGGTGGCAGGGTTCACAATGATCATTAAAGTTTGTTCCCTTTAAAGTTACGTTAACCGGTGCTCGTCTTGATAGGTTGAATAAATAATTTAACTTACATTACAAATACATTTGGCCGTTGTTGGGTGGCTTCGTGGGTTGATAATGACCATGTCACAGGTACTTAGCCAGCGATGTTGAGGAATAGGTTCGAGTCTTGTGTCCAGGTGTCTCACTGGTTCATAATGGCCGTATCGGACATCGATCATCCGTGTGGTTAAACGCACTACAGCTGGGAGTATTTATCTCGGGGAGTTCATAATGGCCATGCCGACCTGGTAATGTCCGTATCAGAGACACTGAGATGCTGCATGTAAGCTCTTAAGCTGTTTTTCTCTAAAGGGGATTAATCACGGCCACGTCAGAGACACAAATCGGACAACGCCTCGGCTCATACCCCGGGTTCTTGCCCCGGGCCTGGTGTCACTGGGGGCTACCTAACAGCCACGTGAAAGCCACGGAGATTCTTCCGTTTCGAGTCCGGGCATTGAGTGTCTTTGAGGAGGTTCGTCTTGGCTGTCAAATGCACTTGGCACCACTGCGGTGGGGGGCGACAGCCCCTGAGGGTCGGTGTCACTCGCGAGGTTCGCAATGGCCGTGTCTGGGATTTCGTTGTGGTCGATAAACGGGGTGATCGATCGAGTTGCGCTCAAACTTGATGCCTCCGCCCAGGTAGTCAAGTGACTGCATTTTAAAACAATGCTGTGATCATAGACTACGAACAATTTGCACGTCTCACGTAGCCTCGGCTGGATTAGTTGGACTAAATAACAGGTCCCTGCAGGGTGGGCTGGTAGGACAAGTCTCTGCGCTGTCTATTGCTGATTTTACACCCAACAGCACGAGATTTCACTTCGTTAAAGTATTGAAAGGGGACGGACGGACGGACACATTAATTTATTGCAGGCTGGTACACTCAGTTTACAACTTCGTTCCTACCAGGATTACCACACCATATTGGTTGACGACTGACTCGTGTTCACTCCTACAGGGTAACGCCACACGGTGTAGTGACGTGTGTCAGGAAGGTCTAAAAGCGTGGTACAGAAGCCGCACGCACCCTGGGGTTTCGTGAAGGAGGCCCTTGACGAGTGTTGAAATCTTGCATCTGTTAGAGGAGACTCAAAAATAGCGAATGAGTGAGAATTATATATGGAGATATAGTGACCCCTGACCACAGGAACGAGGAATTTACAGTTCCTGATCGACTTTCAAGTTCATATTTTTTTGGAAAAAAATATTTCTGTTTTTGCCTCTGTACAGCACTTTGTTCTCTGGGTGAAATGTGCTTTTACAAGTGTAATTTGTAATTTCACATTTTCTGAATAATGCCACAAATTCAACACTGCGTTGGGAAGGCTGAGGTAGCATAACATTTAGTTTATGCAGTACTGTATATACATTATACAAAGTGAAATAGGGCAGTACTCGGGTTACGAACCTAATTCGTTCGTGAGACTCGTTCGTAAGTCGAACGGTTCGTAATTCGTAACAATAATGTACGATTTAAATGTCCTTACGGTCGATGTTATGAAATGTGTTACGGTTCAATGAAAATGGAAGCATTGTTAAACTCATAATTAAGGATACATATTGTAAATCTCAATGTGAAACTTTAGAAAAATACTGTATCGTAAATAAAACATAAAAACAGTTTTGTTTTAACTTAGGGGCCGTCCATAAATGACGTCATGCGATTTTTTGTCGATTTTTTTCCCTCTCGTCACACGGCGTCACAAAAAGTCAGACCCCCCCTCAAATATGACGTCACAAAGCTCTGTCCCCCCCCTCCCAAAACCATATTTCCATTTTGAAAATAAAACATGCTTCAAATCGCTTTAAACTATTGCCATTGTAGTGCGTATTTAATGTGGCGTTGCACTCTGATGTTGTAGGAGAAAACATTTATTAAAAAATCAGTCTATTTAATTAGTAGAACGTGTTGTCTATTTATTTCAAGTTGCGCTTTTTGATTTGATGTCACAGTTCTCACACCCCCCCCCCCCTCGTCACACATCGTCACAAATGTCTGACCCCCCCTATGTGCGTGACGTCATTTATGGAGGCCCCCTTATCTGGAGTCCTGATTGCTAGCTTGTAGTTAGAAAGGGGGCAATAAGTCACCACAATTGCGCACACACACAAAAGCATAAGTCACAACAATTGCGCACACACACAAAGGCAAAGAGACACACCACAACGACCCCCGTATAGCCTTGGCAGACTGTTGGGGCAAGTGCTGTTAGCGAGCGTCGCCTATGAAAGCCTGCACGGCACACGAGTGGGTCAATGACCCAGCGAGACGCCCAGCTGGCTTTGTCACCCCAGTAGCGATGTTTACACATCACATCAGGTACTCATTTGAGGCTTAATCGACCTAGGGGAGGCCCAGGTCCAATTCAGATAATCGTCACTGGTGTTGATCGTGAACGGGAATTGAACTTTGGTCGCCAGGTCGGTAGCACAGCGCGCTAACCATTGCACCCCCCCCCCCCCCCACACATGCGCACAAAGACCAACCCTTATAGCTTCAACAGACTGTAGGAGCAAGTGCTGTTAGCGAGTAGCACTTATGAAGGCCGGTATGGCATACGAGGGGGTAGGTGGCAAACACCACACCCGGCCGCCTTTGTCTTCCCAGTGGTGATGTTTACACACTGCACCAGGTACTGGTTTTGGCCGTGAGAAAGAATCAAACTCGGGTCGCCGCTTTCGTAGAGCAGCGCGCTAACTGCTTCACGACCGCTCCCCACACACGTTCACACTCGCATGTCCGTGCACATACACACACAGACACTCACTCCGAACGCGGAGGATCGCTCCTCTGAACAAAATAGTTAAGCGGTTCGGTTTGTAATTGCGAGTTCTCGTTTTGAGTTAATGTTATATTTGATAGTGCATGGAAGCTGGTTCGTAAGTACGGATGTTCGTAAATCGAGGACTGCCTGAACAGTATTTTAATTTCAAAGGGGCTCGCGCCCATATGTGCTGTCATGTGAGATGAAACGAGAAACAGTTGCGAGTGGAGCCGGTTTTACACTTTTGAGAAAGTTGTTTAATTACTTTTATTCTTCTAAAACCCTGCGACATTCATTGTGCTTTACATGGCACAATCAGGTGTCTAGATTTTACCGCATCACAAGCCACTATGAAATTGTAAGCGAACCAATCAATGGCAGTGGGTTATGGAGTACTGTACATACAGAACCAGTGGGCTTTGGAGCACATTACAGAACCAGTGGGATATGGAGTACAAACAGAACCAGTGGGATATGGAGTACAAACAGAACCAGTGGGTTATGGAGAACTATCAGAACCAGTGGGTTACAGAGTATATACAGAACCAGTGGGATATGGAGTACATAGAGAACCAGTGGGATATGGAGTACATACAGAACCAGTGGGTTATGGAGTACATAGAAAACCATTGGGTTATGGAGAACATGCATAACCAGTGGGTTACAGAGTATACAGAACCAGTGGGATATGGAGTACATAGAGAACTGTCGTGAATCCAACTGAGTTGCAGACGTTATCTTAGGAGCAACACTATTTACACAACGGTACGTAACATAACACAATCTATACTCGGGTCTAGAATGCCCATCTAACCACGCTACAGCAGAACTAGACACGGTTCGCTATGACGGTCCGGACCACAAGCTGGGTCCCGGACCCCGTGGCTAGAGGCTTCTCCCCGACGAGGATCTTCGTAACACCAGCACACGAAGAACCTAGAGCTCGTCACGGGGCCCTCGTTATATGCCCTCGGGCTGGCTCCGCCCTTCGCCCCGCCCACCTTCCAGGTCTCTCAAGCTCCTTCTCGAAGGTTCCCGAGAGCTCTTTTGGACCACGTGACCGCTCCGCGGCCCCTGTCCACCAGTGTCCCCCCTCCAATAGCATTCGGTCACGTGTCAGCAGGTCAACCAGCGTATCATGCCCCAAGGTAACCCTGGCTGGCTGACGCTCTCTCTCGCTCCCTCACCTGGAGCCTGCACCGCACACTGCTCGCGGTACCTCTGCGCTAACCAGCGCTCACCCAAGCCCTGCTAGGACTGGTACTACATCCCATAACCCGGGCTGCCCATAATGACAACACATTACCCGCCGTGGCTTCGTAAGCCCTGGCACCATACAGTGACAAGCACAGTCATTACAGAACCAGTTGGTTCCAGAGTACATAACCGTAAGTTATCGTCGTTATGCTGAAAAGCTGCCCGATACGTTTTATGGATGTACCGCGTGTTGTTCGGTACCATGACCAACGTTTTTCTCCACGTGCTGGAAGCTTCTTCAGGAATTAAATTCAGTTCGAATAGTGATACTGTATTTGGGTTTAGTTCCGGAATAAACTCCCAAACTCGTGTAGCGGAACATTGGGCATCATAATCAGTCTATAAATCATCTGCCTGAGCCGGCTTTCATTGCAGGGCATTTATTTTTCAGCGTTGAATTATGTTTGTTAAATATTTTTTTTTATATTGTGATGCAATTGTCTTTCCTTCATTGCTGTAACTTTATTTTAATTCTTTTGCTTTTGTCATTTTGGTGACCCAGGTCAGTAACTCTTTAAAATGAGACATGTATCTCTTGAGTTTTCACCTGCTTAAACAAATACATTTGACTCAATTGATTGTGGCGCAACCCTGCAACCACTCCGGAGAGCTTAGAGGAGGTGTTGCTGT